TAGATACGCCACTGCTGGTACTGTTTAACTCCGCTAGTGGGGTAAAACGTCTTATAAACATATGAAAAATCATGATTAAGTATATAGAATACTTAAGTAAAGGAAATCTTTGTATTAAACATTAAAATTGATTATACGAATTCGTTGTTATTATTAATTAATTATGTAATATTTGGTAATTAAGTTGCTTTAATCAATGCCCCTTGCTGTTGATGTCAGGATAAACCGATGTAATATTTTCGTAGGAGAAAAACTGCGCTTTCAAATCAAAACTATGGATTTATAGCTCCATATATGAACATATTTAGGACTATTGCCAAATACCATGTGATCGCGATCCTGCACATGACCTTGTTTTTAAATATCGCTGACATTTCGCTTTACAACAACGAATACTTGTCAGTGATATTGTATTTTTAGAATAATTGCTAGATAAAATGAGGCATTATTATATATAGATTCTTTCCCGATTCAAAATTAACCAATGTTATATATACATGTATATGTTAAATAACATAGACATAGACATAGACATAACTTCTGGAACAATAACTAAACTACCAATTTGACAAACTAGATTGTAGATCCTTACCTGTTTTGTTTATTAGGAAAAGACAAAGACAACAAAATATATTAAATATATTCTTACTGCAAGTCGAGGTGCTCGGATGGAAAGGGCTCTTGTTTAAATTAATCGTTTACTTTAAATTTACAATATGCTGGTCATATTAGGTCATATTATAACATTTTTGGGGAAGTATAACGAGGAAAAATGTTAGAATTTAATAGCTGAAAATAATTTTTACAGCGTATATAACTATTATAATTATGTAATTATAGTATATAGACATTTGATCGACGAAAAAATCGTGATGTATATATGATTTTTTTTTCATTTTCGAAGTTTAATTACATTTATAGTTTCTCTGTTTGATAAAAAAGGAAATTTTAGTTATTGCTAATTACATCATATTGGCTTCCATCTTACATCATATTGGTTTATCTAAAGTGTTAAGTTAGTATACAATGAGTCTTTATTAGGAACTGGTGCTTTGCTCAGGTCTATATGCATCAACATGGATAAACCGTGTAACACAAAACATTTATTATGTCAACGTGTTATTTTGTAGGGATTGGATATGTAACCGGTAAAAGTGGATATGTAACCAGTATTCTTTTTTTATACTGTATTCATGATGAAAGTGAGGGCGAACTCCAACATTAACTTTAAGGATAGGAAAATATCGAGTTATAGCTGGTCAAATTACACACTTTAATTATGTTATTCAAACAAGCTTAAATAGGTAAACTGCCAATGACATTTACCTAGCAAGAAGTGTAACTACCTGATGGAGAAGTTAGAAATATTGCATGAAAGTCCATTACAGATATGAAACTCAAGATAATGAAAACAAATTATATAAACAAAAAAGTATTTTTAGAAGGTAATCAAGGAGTCATTAATAGGACCACGTGACCAGTAGCCGTTATTTCTTGTATTATAAAATATTGAGATTAGGGGTTGTAAAGGACATACTTATTACTATATAAGTTTAATTTGAAGGATTGATAGCTTCATAGTTTTGTGTTCAATAAACAATTTCGGTTTTTAGTTATTCGTTATGTTATAATAGTTTGCGTAGGGGCAATACGACTTAGTGTTCAAACATACATTGTGTTTCAATGCTAAGTTTACAATGTAATGTGATGCTAAATTTTTACGTAACTATGTATGAATTTCCACATTTTGTTAGTCAATTTTTCCAAGTTTATCTGAATAAATAATTTGCATGCCGAGAGATTTATTGCGACTTTTTGTATTGGTCTGATAGGCACATTTTGAGAACTCAATATACAAATAATGTCGTAGTGAAGACCACGCGATAGGCTATAACACGGCAGAAATATTGACTCAAATATATATAGGCCCATATATATA